CCCCCCCCCCCCCTCCTCGCCTCGACCTCCCGTGCAGAACCGCGCGGACTGCTCCGGCCGTGCCATCGGTGGGGTGCACGATGACGCCTACGGGGACGAGTTCGAGGTCGGCGCCGATGGCGCTAAGAAGGCAACCGGTGTTGCCCACGCGACAGAGGCTTGATCTTTGATGGGTCTTCCACTGCGTGGTGTCTTTTCCACACCGTACCGTCATATACAACATACCATGGTATTCACGGTACCGCTCCTCCTGTAGTTATGTTATCCGCCAACAAGGCCACCGGGGTTGATATCCAATGGTGTTTGGACTGTTTCAAGCCTTTCACAGCGCAACATGACGTGGTGGCGCATACGCCGTACCATTAGTCTGGGCAATGCGCCAGCCACCCTTAAGTCATGGGTGCACAGCGACGCGCACCTATTCCACTGCGCGAGTTGGTGTTCCAATGATAGTTTTTGGTTATTTGCGTTTTTCAAGCGGATGGGAATGAGAGCGTTCGTTTTTTCAAGCTAGGAGGGCTGTTTACCGAACAGTCGGTCCTGTATTCGTCTCCGGCGGGGGTGGGTTAGTTTATGGCGGGAAATGATCACATTTTGCAGTGAAAGGCCTGCTCAAGGTCACGACTTTGATTGTTGCAATAGTCTGGTGATTTAGGGGGTTGGTTTTGATTGTATCCCGCACAGTAGCTGCATGGAGCGATGGAGAGTCTTGCTGCGTGCGGTGGGCTAGTTCCTTCCGTGTGGACAACAAGGAATGCAACACACCTCGCGGGAAGTCCGTGTTTCACGCATTAAGAGAGAACGGAGCACGTGAGCTGGTGGCGAGGATATGGGGCTGCCCGCTGTTGTTTTGTGCGGCAGTACCTCCCCGTTGCTTGGGTTATCAAATGGTGACGGCTGTTAATGCCGTGGTTGTGGTTGGGGGTGGAGGCCCGTTGCATCTGGTGATTATTGGACCAGAGTATTTCAGACGGCAGCCGGCGGGCAGATAATTATGGCGGGGAAGGACGTACGTCTTGGTGGTTGCGCGTGATCCCGATGGATGTGGCGCACCCTACCTTCGGTAGGACGTCGTGTTGAAGACCGTAGGTGTCCTGGAAAATATTTGCTGCAGCACTAGAGGGGACCGTTCAGAATGAGCCATGCTCCGGTAGAGTGTTGCCCGTTTTGGCTGAACCATCTTTCAATGAGGTTGGCTCAGGAACGTCGGATCCACTAAAGAAAGTTGAAGTCAGGGATCATCTCGCTTCTTTCTCTTTGGCATGCTTGTCTTGATTGTTCATAAAATCGGGTTGCTTCTTAGATGCGATATCGGGCTCCCACGTACATAAACCACAGGTACACCTACAGCTGCTGACGACGTGAATGTAAACAACCCTGTTGCTCTAACAGCTATAAAACCGCTGCCTGCTGCCGCGTCGACTGAAAAGTAATCTGTCTATCGCAAGATCAGCTATGCTTCTGCTTCTGAAACCCTTCTATTGCCTCGACTACCCCGGCGCCCATGATAGAGTTGGCGCATACTCCATCGTAGAATAGTAGCACCGACGGCACCCACACGCTCGACACCTTGCAGGTATTAACCAGCTGCAGGCGTCCAACCCGACGTCGTTAGGCGTCCGTGAACGCCGCAAGTCCGTCGAGGCTGGGCAAAATTGAAAAGGCATCGGTCGCCTAGATCCAGCTCAGCGACTACCTTGATGCCGTCCTCGCTAACTGGCGGTTGCTCAACTGGCGACCGTTCGATCGGGCCTTCAGTCACCCTATATACCAACGGAACAGCTTGGCGTCGAGGGAGCTGATCGTCCGGCATATGACGAGTTGTATTAGCACTGCGGCTCTCCAAAGTCTGCGTCAAGCAGCTCGCTGAGGTATCAATGGGGCGTGACAGGGGCGGAGAGGCAAATCGATTAAGCGACAACGTGCAGGACCTCGCTCTCAGGTTGGACCGGGAATAGCGAACGGATGGACGCCATGATGTCACCACAACCAAGAATGAAACGAAAATGAAGAGTTATAAAGTGCCCCAACCAAGGAGCAAGAACGACTTCCGGCGGAAAGCATTGGCAAAAGCATGACATGCATGGATGGTGTAGTGAACGAACGGCATGAGGATGGGAAACAATATTGCGACATACGTACCACGGTAGTGCCTCAATCGTCCAACAAGACATGTATATTTTACTAGACGTTTCGTGGAGTGTTCCCTCGCAATCACTCGATTTCAGCAGCCCCCGATACAAACCATTCTCATAGAAAATATTGATGGTTCAAACTTGCTTTCAAAACCCCGGCTAGTTATACAGCACGGAAGTCAACAACAGGCAAGTGATGGCTCTCGCCCGCTTGTGCGGTTGCTGAGCAACACCGTTAATAGAGAAAAGCCTTCGAAGACAATGGTTCCAGAACCGTTCTGAAAATTTCTCTTCACATTGCAAATATCTGTGTAAACTTCCAGTAGCTCTCGCCGCCTTCTTCAAAAACCCGGCAAGGACGGCAATATCCAGAGGTGGAACGCAACAACAGTTGTGGTGAATTCTTGTGGCTCTCACCTGCAGTCTCAACAATTCCGCCCGGTTGTTAAGCGCTGCAGCATAGCTGGGGTGGTCTCTGCCTACAGTTGTACCCAGAATTTCCAGGACCCGCAACAACAAGGAGTCCGCCTCTTCATACTCGCCCTGGAATATATGGTGTGCATGTGATCAAGGCAAGTAGGAAAGCAGATCAAACTAGCGACGAACAAATGCTCGATAACCCGGCCTCGCTTTAATGTTGTTGAGCGACTGGACCACATCGGGGTGATCGGGACCCAGGGAATTCTCTCGTACAGCCCGCTCCCGTTCAAAGAGTGGTTCAGTCTCAGTGTCTTGCCCGGACACGCAGTGGACGTAAAGGTGGACAGCGTGCCAGGGTGGGGTGCGAATGAGGCCAGATCTAGGGCTGCCGAGGAACTTTGCCCAACGACCTCAGCCTTGAGTTGAGCGCCGCGGTCACATGACGATACTCAGCGCCGACAACCTTTTTGTATATCGGCTAAAAACCAATAGATGGCTTAGCCTCGGCATACTGCCCTGGCATGCAGTCGAAGACAGGGTGGCACAGTATCATGCATAGGTCTGCCAAGGTAGGGTCTACAACGGCGGCGAAAACATTTCTCAACCACACCCGCTCGATTGTCGACCGCGTGGGCCTCATCCGGGTGCTCGAGGCCCAGTACTCTCGGAAACCTCTGAAGGATTTGACTTGCCTCCTTAAACAACCCGGCCGGTTGCAGGGCACAGAAGATTTAATAAAAACATCGAACACCTTTCCTGGAACTTTCGATCCCGTTCACTTGCTTGTGCGATGGGTGAGCAATGACACCCACAGTGCGAAAACGTTCTCCCAAGTCCCCGGCAGAACCGTCTTGAAACACAATCGCCTTTAAAATAGAATATAGTAAGTTCCAGCAGCTTCCACCGGCCGCTTTGCAATTTCCCCACCAGCATTACAGCATCCAGAGGCCAAACGCACGAAACGTGCTCGAACGGCTTGTGGCTCTCACCTGCAGCTTCAACAACCCCACCCGGTTGTTAAGCGCTGAAGCGTAGGTGGGGTATTCTCTGCCTACTGTTGCATCCAGAATTTCCAGGACCCGCAGTAACAGGGAGTCTGCTTCTTCGTACTTGCCCTGGAACATGTGGGAAAAACGCCCATCCCATCGGACGGATCCAAGTTTGGAAAATGGAAAAACGGTTTTCAGTTGGGGGAGCAGCTTGAAGCATCCACAGAGACGGTCTTGGAGGCAACGCATCCGGGTTGCTCAGACCTGTTTCCGCTAGGCGCAGTTATGGGTAGTTATAGGTAGAAACTTACGCCGGCGCAACGGGGCAAGTCTACCTCTTTGAGCGGCCCGTATGACGGCAACCTCCCAAAGGCATTTCCGGATAGGGGACGTGCTGGTCCTTTCATGGTGGAATATTTTCGCCTAGGAGGTCCGCTCAGCGTAGACTATATCTCGCGGGGACGGGGGGGGGTGTACTCATAGTCGTGCATGCCGTAGTCGTTAGACCATTGACCTCGCATCCCTACAAAGCCGGGACGGAGCACGCCGGGTTCTCACCGGACCAGGCTCTCACATCACCAAGCGCGAAGCGCCGTGAGATATTCGGCGAGTCGCATGAAGGGTGCGCTGCATCCTGCTAAGGGTTTTCGGCATCTTGTGCTTACTTCCTTGCGTACGGATGACAGCTGCGTATGAATTAATTTATTTTCTGGTGCTTTCACTTCCAGAGACAGTTGTAAGCACTGTGTAACTGCCTCGAGGGTGCTTGACCATTTTAACACAACGTGGTGCGATCATCCCCCTTGCGCGGAGTGAGGGTTCTCCACCCCGCACAACATGATCTACTCGAACACCATTATGGTTACCGCAAAAAAAAAAAAACCCGGAGGTAAAAAAAAGNGGGGGGGGGGGGGGGGGGTGGATGAAATCATCAAGATCTCGGCGGTTGAAAGATGCAGCCGTGGGGAGCAAAGCATTTATTATGGCGCCACCACTACATAGTGCGCAGGTGCACGGTAGCAAGAAGCACCGCGGGCAGAGTTATGCCGATGCTCGGGATCTGCTTCGGCCAAGCACGACCTTATCGCTTGTGCGGGTCAACAGCGATAACATGATGTTGCCCTGCCTTAAGGTGTTGAAACGGTTGGGCGAGACCACGACGGCCCGCGTCAAAGGAGGCAACGAAGTAGGGGGGGGGGGCCAGGCTGGTGAGAAGGCCGCACCTTACCCACTTGGTGCAGGGGGCCATACCCGACCCAATACTAAGACTGAGTGATGCTCGGCGAGGAGCCAAAATGCAATAGAGGTGAAACGTGGTAGGAGAGTTTGAGACAGGAAATACCATCTGCGCAGGAACAAACGTTCAACAACCCCGCCCGGCCATTACGCGAAAACGCCACTTGTTGGGTGGTACTTGTCTCGTGGAAAAGAAGGGCGAGATTGTTGAGTCAGCGCCCCGAAACTAACAACAATTCTCCAGGAAATTCCTAGGGCTCTCTCTTCTCACCTGGCGCTTGAACAACCCCGCTCGGTTATTTAGCGCTTTGGCGACATTGGGGTGTTCAGAACCCAAAGCCTTCTCGTAGATCGCTTGACATCGCTCAAAAAGTGGCTCAGCCTCAGCGTACTTGCCCTGTGCATTAAAGTATGGAGTCGGTCAGCCAGCTGTCTACAAAAACAAGAAGAATAGAAAGAGAGACACCGACACCACGAAATTCCTAGATACATTCCTTGAGCTATCATTAAACTCTCTCCTGCACCACTGCAACACCCGGTCGTAAGCAATCGAGCGACATTGGGGTTCTCCAGACCCCGTGCCTTCAACCTCGAAATGGCCGTGACTGTTCAAAATATCACTGGCGGCCTCAGCATACTCAAGCAAGTGCTACGAGCGGTCACGCGGTTGCCCACCGAGAACAAAATCTATTCACCGTCAAATGTAGACCCTGCAAAAATTCGTTTAGCTATTATTATTATTTTGTTTGCCCTCCGACAATTGCAGAAAAATGCAGACATACATTAAAAGTCGATCGTAAAGGCCGTCGTTTAGCTATACTTGACCCCAAAAAAACAAAGGGTCGACACGAAGAAGGAGCAGAGCAAGCACAGCAACATTTCCTGGAAAACTGGACAGCTCTCACCTGTCTAAGCAGCAGCCCCGCCCGGTTGTTGAGTGTTGTGGCCAAACTTGGGTGATCAGGGCCTAGAGCCTTCTCCTGTATCGCCTGGCACCGCTCAAAAAGTGGCTCGGCCTAGGCGTACTTACCCTGGAAATGATGGGAGAGATGAGAGAGGAGTCAAGCGCAAGGTGAAAGGATGTGGCGGAGGAACACATTCTCAACAAGCACACCCGGTTGTCGAGGACGGTTGTCACAGTAGGGTTGGCAGGACCGAGAGACCCCTCCCATATCTCCGTCGTCCGCTCCTACAAAACAAAATACTGCCTCTGCGTACTTAACCTGTACAGGAAGCAGTGGCGCATTTGTCACGAAGCGGTCTACAGCACCAGGATTTTGGAAGGGTTCACCGAGAAACACGGACGCTGCGAAGTCTCCGCGAAGCTCATCACGGCGTTCACCTGTTGCTTCAACAAGCCCGCCCGGTTGTTGAGCGCTGTTGCCACATGTGCATGCTCAGAACCGAACGCCTTCTCGAATATCGCCTGGGACTGTTCAAAGAGTGGCTCTGCCTCCGCGCACTTGCCCTGGAGTGAAGTAATCAACAGTTTGCCAAAGTCAGATACGATGTGGTCAAACTCGAAAGCATAACCGCGGGGTAATATTTCCTTCCACAATCTCAGTTGTTGGGTGCCGCGGCGGCACCGCTGCAAACATACCAAGGTTCGGCTTTGGCGTGTATGCCCTGGATCGCCAGGAAACAGTGCCCCGTTTTTGTGGCCAACGCTTGTGTGGCGAAAAGCAGTTAATGGGCATCAGCATCCTTGACATGGATTTATTCCAAGACATTTGCGATCGCTTCTTGACGCGCACCATGAGAACGTTTGAAGAAAATGAAAATTCCCAACAAAATCTGGAACAAACCTCGTTCGTGCACAAGAAGTATTCGATGGTTAGATGTATCCTTGTCACCACTGCATGTTGCAACTTCAACGGACAACAATCAGACATTTCTTGGGGCGTTCGCTTGCTTTTCATCCAGCCTTCCCATGCAACGATATTCCTGCAAACCCCTCGTGGCTCTCACCTGCAGTCGCAACAAACCCGCCCGATTGTTAAGCGCTGAAGCATATTTGGGGTGCTCTATGCCGACTGTTGCACCCAGAATTTCCAGGACCCGCAACAACAAGGGGTCTGCGTCTTCGTACTTGCCCTGGAAATTGGGGGAGAAACGTGGCAGGAGTGTGATCAAGGCTACAAGACAAGCAGAGTCACATGCGGAGGAAATAATGCTCGACAACCCCGCGCGGCTGCTGAGCAACTGGGCCACATCGGGGTGGTCCGGACCCAGGAGTCTCTCTGGAATAGCCCCCTGACCGTTCAAAGAGTGGCCAAGCTGCGGTGTCTTGCCCTGGCATGCAGTGGGCACGGTAGACAACGCGCCAGAGTGGGGTGCGAATCAGGCCGGATCAAGAGTTGCGGAGGAACATTGCTCAACACCCACAGCCTTGTGTCGAGCGTCGCGGCCTCATGCCGACAAACCGCGTTTCAGAAGTTGATCAGCCTAGGTATCCTTGCCCGGTCATGCAGTCAAAGGAAGTTTGCCAGAATTTCATGCATAGTTTGGTCAAGGTAGGACACACAACTGTGGAGCAATCATCTTCACTTCCGCGCGGGTTCGTTGGGTGCGAGCCTGGGCCAACTTCGGGTGCTCCAGGCTCAACACGTTTCCTACTATGACTTGTGGCTGTAGCGTGGTTCGGTTTTGGCATAGTTGCCATGATATGTGAGGACAAAACGGCACAGAGTCGGATGAAAATTGAGATCTAGCTAGCATTGCGGAGGAAAACCCGGAGGAAAAAAAAATCTCTTCGACAAGAATCTACAATAGAACCATCATTTGGTGCCCACTCACGTGGCTTTCCATCAACCTCGCCCGGTTGTTGAGTGCTGTTGCCACCGCATCGTGATCAGGACCAAGCGATTTTTCGCGGATGGCGAGGGAACGCTCACACAGAGGGCTGGCTTCGTCGTACTTACC